TGTAGATTTAGGTCGCAGATTATATGTCTGAGTCTTTATTCTTCATATGTAATTTAAAAGCAAGCTTTTCTTTGTAAGGCATGGCTTCATCGTTAATATTTAAAAAAAAAGAAGTTTACTAGAATTTTAGCAATTATTTTTCTGATATTTTCTTTATTGTTTTTTATTAACTACTACTTAGCACTAATAAGACTATTTAAACTTTTAATTTAGATAGTCTAGTATAATATATATTAATATTTTTTTTCTCTAACAAATTTAATGATCTGATTAATTATATGTTTTTCTATACATTTTGTTATCTAGTTTATTTACCTATTTCTTTAAAGATGTTTTATAAACTTCTATCAATCTGACAATATTATTAAAAATTCATGTTATCTTTTTATTCAGAAATTTTTAAGTAAGTTTTTAATTTTCAGTTTTTTTATTTTTTATATTTAGTAGTTTTATTATAAATTTGCATCAAAGTTTTATGCAATACTGGTTATAACATTTTTCTATGTACATATAACATTAAATTTCATATAAATACTCTAAGTTCCTAGTTGAGATAATGCAGTCAAAGATTACAAATATGCAAATCCAACTACAGTCAACTCTTTATAAGTGCATATTCTATAAGTGCACCACCTCTCTCTATAAGTGCACATTATTTGATTTTTCAATAAATTTTGTGTAGCATTACGTAGTATGATAAAAAAATTAATTTATTAATAATACGATTTTATGATATAATAAATAAATAAAATAATGATAAAAGTAAGTTTATATTATTATTTGTTATCCTAAATTGCTTATGCTTATTAAAAAGGTTAGCAGAACTATGCTCACGAATGAGCAAAGATTAGAAGTTATTAAACACAGAAATGAAAATCCAAATGAAATCTATAATGATACTGTTAAATGGATAAAAATACATATAATCTTGATATTCATCATACTACAATTGGATGTTTATTGAAGCGAAAAAATGATATTAAAGAAGGTTCTTTCTCAAAAAGAATAAAACCAGTTCATTATGAAGAGCTTGATCATGTATTGCATGAATGGATTATACAATATCAAGCTTATATAACAATAACAGATGCAATTTTAACAGAAAAGACCAAATGTTTTGCATAGCTTCTAAATTTGTCTGTAGATCGGTTCAAGTTTTTAGTAAGATGGTTAAACAAATTTAAAAAAAGATAAATAATTTCTAAAATTAAGCATCATAGGAAAGATGCTTCAGCCAATCATAATGCTGCAGATACTGCAATTTCTGAGCTAAAAATTTTATTAGCTCAATATAATCTTTAAGATATTTACAATATAGATGAAACAGCATTATTTTATCATCTTGAACCTAATACTACACTGGTTACAACAAGTTTAAAAGGCAGAAAAAAAAATAAAAAATGATTAACAGTTGCTTTTTGTATAAATGCTGATGGAAGTAATAAGCATGAACCATTTGTAATTGAAAAATTTCTAAATTTATGATGTTTTAAGTATGTTAATCGAAATAACTTATGCATAACATATAAGACCAATAAATCTGCTTGGATAAATACAATAATATTTAATAAATGAATACAAGATTTTGATCAAAAAATGACTGGATGTAATGTTATTCTTTTAATAAATAATGCTACAAGTTATAAACTTGATAGTATAACTCTTAGAAATATGAAGCTACATTTTTTTTCTCCTAAAACAACAAGTAAAATTTAGTCATTGGATGCAAGAATAATTATGTCATTTAAAAGTCATTATAAATTCCAATTTGTTTAATGGATTATAAATAAATATAAGATTGAACAACTTAATGAACAAAAACAAAATAATCTCAACGTATTTACTGCAATAAAGTTTATTATAAATGCTTGGAATAATATTTCTTCAACAATGATTAAAAATTGTTTTAATTATACAAAAATTCTTTTAGAAATTTTAGAATCAGAAATTAATTAAGAGATAGAAGTAAATACTGAGAATTCATTTATAACTACTAATGAACTAAATGGTATTCAACTTCAAGTAACTAAGAAAGTTAATAAATTTTTAGAACAAAATATGACCAATATGCTGCCTACTGATCAAAAAATCATAGATTTAGCAAGTGAAGAAGTTATAAACCAGAAACCTGCAGATTCTAATAATGAAGAGTATAAGGTTACAAAAAAAGAAGCATTGGATGCATTTGATACATTTTCTTTATATTTCTTGTAACAAAAAAATGACACAAGAGAATATATTAATTTGATTGCAAAATTTAGTGAAGTAATTAACAAAAAATAAATAAATTTTTTTGTTAATTCAAATAATTAAAAACATTTGATAACTATCTGTAGGGGATTTTTTTTAAATTTACAAAAACTTTGATAGCAATTTGAGCTTTGGTTTTGTATTCATAAAATTTGTTTTATTAATAAAATTTTTTTAATATTATATTTTTTTTTTATAATTGTTCCATTTTACAAATTTAAACTAAACCACAATATTTTCTTTCTGTAAATGCACAATTTTATAAATGTACATCTCCTAATAACATGCACTTATAGAGAGTCAACTGTAATTATTATAAGACAGTTTGTCATAACACAGGTATAATTTTCAAATTTTGTTATAAGTAAGATTTAAACACTAAACATGTTACTTGAAAAATGACAACTTACTCACTAAACTAAAATCAACATTCTTTTTAGTTTTATTTTTAAAAACCTATATATTTTATTTTTATTTACTAAATCTTTTTTTAAAAAATTTAAAAAATGTTTAATAATTTGTTTTTTTGTTTTTATTTTTTTAGAAAATGAAGATTAATGAAAAGATTTATAAACTTGTATTAATAATTTTTTTATATATTAGTTAGTAAAGCAGTTTATATGATTAGTCTTAGTAACCAACTTGAATCTAAAATTTTGTATTTATTTATACAAGATATTTCATTATATAGTATTTATTAAGACAGGTTTGACTGTACTGCAAACCTTAAGTCTAACTACTATTGGACAATACGAAGTTGTTACATATTGATATAACTATACTTGTTGGCAAAATCCCAAACTATTATAAAATTAGTTTGTCCGTGCCCGAATCCCAAACTCAGGCCAAATTCATATCTCAAAAATTTAATTAATAATCCTTATTCAAACTAATATCAGATATTCTTATAGTTATATATAATATATTAGCAAAATTTCAATACTATTTTTTTGATTCAATTTTTTATAAATAACAATTGTTTTTTTGAATTTGTCCAGGTTTTGCCATTTTGCCGGCAAGTATAGATATAACAGGTTGTTACGAATATATAAAAATTAGATATCGTAAAATTTTTAAGATAATCGAAATACAAATGCATGTGATAGTTGTTGGACAACATCTATTTGGATGTTGTTTCATGATCCAAACCTTTAGGCAAGTTTAATCACGAGATCAGCTTATAAAGTATCTTTACAAGAAATTCCTTAGCCACAACGTGTACGATCTCTCGAGGATTATGCCATATCACCGTCTTAAAGGTATAATTGGCTTATATGCTTTTTACGCTTGAAATTTATCATAATTTACTTCTTAAAACTTACTTTCCTTCAAAGATCTCATAAAGGCCATACGTGCCTGTAAGACTGCAGCTGATGAAAGAGCTGTCATCCAGAAAGAATCGGCAGCTATTCGTACTAGTTTCAAAGAAGAAAATAATGACGCTCGTCATTCGAATGTAGCTAAATTACTTTATATACACATGCTGGGTTATCCTGCCCACTTTGGCCAAATCGAATGCTTAAAATTGGTAGCATCAAACCGATTTGCGGATAAAAGGCTGGGCTATTTAGGAATCATGCTTTTATTGGATGAAAACCAAGAAGTGCTAACGTTGGTCACGAACTCTTTGAAAAAGTAATTTTATATAATCTTTACTTTAAATGGTTTTAAGGCACAGAATAGTCTACCTTTTTAATTTTATCCTTGACACAGAACTTAATTTTTCGAATTCAGCGATATGAACCATTCCAATATGTATATTGTCGGTTTAGCGTTATGCACTTTAGGAAATATATCGTCTCCTGAAATGGCGCGTGATTTATGTGCAGAAGTCGAAAAACTACTAGGTAGTTCAAATGCATACATTCGGAAGAAGGTTAGTTACCATGGAACTCAGTTTTTGTAACCGGTATCGCTTCAACTATTAATCTTTTTTCTTTTTTCCTTTTTTTTCTGGACAAATAAATTTATTTAAAAAAGGCTGCTCTGTGCGCGATGCGGATTATTCGTAAAGTTTCTGATCTGCAGGAAAATTTTTTGAGTAGAGCAAAAAATAATTTGAGTGACAGAAATCATGGCGTATTATTGACAGCAATTACTCTTATTATTGAGATGTGCTATCAAAATCCAGAAACTTTGCAAACTTTTCGCAAGGTTAATATTTTTCATTAATTTATTATTTCTATTATAATGCTACATAATTTCATACCTAGATTGTTATGATAGGCAGTTCCATTGTTGGTTAGACATTTAAAAACACTGGTTTCAGCTGGATTTTCACAAGAACATGATGTAACTGGCGTCACAGATCCATTTTTGCAAGTTAAAATATTGAGGCTCTTGCGAATCTTAGGTAAAGGAGACGCTGAAGCAAGTGAAACAATGAACGATATCCTTGCACAGGTTCGTATTTATAACGTTAATTTAGTTATTTAACTTCAATTGTTGAACCATTCCTTTGTTGGTGTATTTATAGGTTGCCACGAATACTGAATCGTCAAAAAATGTTGGAAATTCGATATTGTATGAAACTGTACAAACTATCATGGAAATTCAATCTGAAAGTGGCCTTCGTGTTTTAGCCATCAATATTCTTGGCAAATTTTTGACAAACAGGGATAATAATATTAGGTATTAAGGATATTGATGATAATTATTATTATTTATAATCTAACTAATTTACCATGTCATGATTTGATTACATTAGATATGTCGCATTGACCACGCTTAATAAGACGGTATCGATAGACACAAACGCAGTTCAACGTCATAGAAACATTATCCTCGACTGTTTGCGGGATGGTGATATTTCCATACGACGTCGTGCATTGGAGCTTTCATTTGCATTAATTAATGAGTCAAATGTTAGAGTGTTAACACGTGAGTTATTGGCCTTCTTGGAAGTGGCCGATAATGAGTTCAAACAGGGAATGACGACAAAAATTTGCTTGGCTGCTGATAGGTTTATATTTAATTTGTCACATTACTTTTAGTAAAATATAACTAAGCTATTTTACATTTAATAGGTTCGCTCCCAATAAACGATGGCATATTGATACAGTATTACGTGTTTTGAAACTGGTATATTCTTAAAATATTATGAAATCTTGTGAATTCTTTGATAATATTTATTTTATTTGTATTTTTTTTAGGCTGGGAATTACGTTCGTGAGGAAATTTTATCAAATTTTATTCGCCTGGTTGCGCAGACGACCGAATTAAATGCATACACAGCCCAAAAGTTATATGCAGCATTGAAATCTGACATTTCACAAGTAATTAATTATTTTTTTATATATCTTGTAATTCCTGTTTCATTGTCAGCCGATTAATAAAAAACATTATTTAGGAATCATTAACTTTAGCTGGTGTATGGGTAGTTGGAGAATACGGTGATATATTGATAAAAGGCGGCAACTTTGAAGAAGAAGAGCTTGTTAAGGAGGTTTGTCAATCTAAAATAGATCGCGGGATGGTTGAACATTTGTGATAGACAACAGAAGCTTTTTGTTATAGGTTACTGAATCGGATGTTATTGATCTCCTGGAATCAATTCTCGCTGGACCCTACGCTAACCAAGTTACTCGGGAATATGTTCTTACCGCGCTTATGAAACTGACTTCTCGATTCACGTCAATATCGTCCATTCAACGTATTCAAGCTTATATTGAAAAATATAATACCAGCATTGAAGTGGAAATTCAACAACGTGCTGTTGAATATGGCAATTTATTTAAAGTTGAAACGATCCGGCCGGCAGTTTTGGAGCGAATGCCGATTCCTGAAGTCAAGGAAGAGGTTATTCGTCCAAGTAATAATTATTTATTATTATATATTATTAAAGTTAATTATTTCACTTGTATATTGCTAACGTTTCATTTTGACATAGCTGGAGATACAGGTTTACTCTTAGAAGACATTGGTGCTAATAGTTCAAATAGTGGCATAGATGTAAGTGGTATTTCAATAGAATGATAAAAAATTTTGTATATGCCTCATATGCTAATACAGTTATTGTTTTCTTTTTTAGTCTCTTGTAGATTTTGGTGGAAATGATTCAACTCAATCTAAAAAGCACGCTCCAGAGAACAATAAACCTCCTGTAGACATTCTTGCTGACATATTTGGTAGTGAATCTGCAGAAACAACCCCTCCTGTAGCTGTTGAACCACAAAATGTAAAACATGATATCATTAGTCTATTCAACTCTGAATCGACCACCACTCCAGTCACACCTGTACAAAATATACACCAAACAACTTCTTTAGATAGCTTGGGCTTATTAGGACTTGGAGGAACAGAAGTTTCATCTCCGCCTTCGACTACAGCTACGGGTATAAACGCCATTTATAAATAGGGACTGCAACGGAGGTTTTATTTTTGGATTTATGTCTTCACTAATTTATTAATCTGCAATTTAGATCAATACGTAGCGTATAATAAAAACGGGTTTAAAATTAGTTTAAATCCTTCTAAAGACACAAACAACCCTAATATTCTCAACATTGAGGTTACTTTTCTCAATATCGGTGTAGGTGCAACAGTACAAAACCTTTTATTCCAGGCGGCCGTTCCAAAGGTTGACTATACATTTATTTTGAATCTGTGCCTTCGTATATTTATTTAATATTAAAAAACGGGTTTGAATTATTTAGACTCAAAAACTACAAATGCAACCACCTTCATCGACAACTATTTTACCTGGTGCTACAGCACAACAAATAATTCGTGTTGCCAATCCTCAAAAGGTAGAACATTATATTTGAGACATTTAATCACAAATTATTTAGGTTTAATAACTTTAATCTATTTAATCTGTTTCTCAGTCGAACGTTAGATTACGGCTTAGGATCGTATATTCTACTCCTACAGGTGCCAAAGTAGATGAGATTTCCGAATTTAGTGGATTTCCACAAGAATTTTGGTAAAAATATATGGACATTATTTAAAAGAATGTGTGTATTTTTTTTTTCGTTTGCATTTTTAGAATATATTGGATATTGAGACGAAATTATTAACATGAATGATAATAGTTTAATTAAATGTAGCATACAACACATTCAACCTGCTGTCATGTTTCTATTAAATTTTGTAATTGTAATATTTCAAAAAGGAATAAACATTTATTTAGATCAATTAATGCTATTTTACAATATGCTTTTTAAAGTATGATGTAAGTATAGTCTAAGATTATATGACTAAAACCTGGTATGTTTGAGACCTTTCAACTTCTTTCACACAAACGAGGTATCAAGATTGACCGATAACTTTTTTCACCATGATAATATAAGTTATCGGTCAGAGTTTTATATCTGACATTATTAACTGCAAAACGTTATACCGATAAATTTATAGAACATATATTATTGCAGCTTGCAAAATTTTATCATTAAAAAAAAAGTAATCACTGATTTCCGATTTCTTCAACATTTTTTTCGACTTTTAGATTAGACAAAATTTGCGCATTTATTATTTTTTATAGAAATACAAGTCGCATATTCATCATTTTGTAATATATTTGCAGAAATAGGAGTTGCGCATTAAACTATTCAATCAAATTTTTACAAATGATAAATGCGCAAATGTTGTCTAGTCTAAAAGTCAAAATAATGTTAAAGAAACCGGAAATTAGTGATTATTTTTTTTTAATGATCAAATTCACATAATTTTGCAAACCACAATAAACTGGCAAGTTATCAATATGAATGGAGTCAGATTTACTATGCATTGAGATATTATTCCAGGGTGCTGTAGAGTTAATACCATAGAGTGCTGAATTCTGGTATTCTATGACTTATGCCTGGGGACGATATGAAGTTTTGAAATTTATATATACTACAGATAGCATTCACACCATGTTTGAAGGATTGTAATATTATGTTTTGGAGAATAGCCAGGTCGGGTAAAACTTTGAAGATAATGAAAGCATATCTTTAGTTTTGTAAATACCCGGATATAGTAATCGATAGTTGGTTGAAAAATTTTTAATTAATCAATTGTTTAGTTGATCTAATTTCATAATACTGAATATAAATTTTTATTAAAAAGCTAATTATTACAAAATAAAACAACTAACTGATTAATTGATTAATAGTTAATCGATTCGTTGGTTAATCGATTAATAGTTGGGTCAGATCAATTTTCGATTCATATCACTACCCGGATACACCAGTCAGCACTTTACGGTAGTAGAAGTCGGCTATGGTTCGAAAGTTGGTTACTTTAGACGGTGATGCAGATCACGTTTATGATGTCTTTTTTCGTTTTTAGTAGAGTTGTGACTAGTATGGGATCAAGTTTCGCAAAATGTCACCAGTTTTGTCATAATGTCAAATACTTTAACATTTAATTATATTACGGGAACTCATCCTATATAACCTAAATCTACTCTTGGTCCGAATTTTCTTTTTTCAGGATTAGGTTTGCTGCGGATTTAAATAACTTGGTCTACCAGCGATTTGAATCGCTTAGATCATGACCAGTTAACTGGAATAGTTTGTTAGCTAACTAGCTAGTTACTAAAAACTGATGTGTTTCACCAAAAATTTTTTTATTTAACAGGTCTGTTTTTATTCATAATATTAATTCCTCAATGATAGACTATGCAACTATAAAGGATCAAATTTTATTAAAAGTTTTTACTTTTGAGGACTATTATGTATTTCCATTCGAAGGTATTTTACTTTAGATATTAAAAATCACTTGTCCAACATAACTATTAGACCTATTGTAACATGTCACTATTCAATATACCCTACTTAGTCGCTAAATTAATATTAGTTTGAAAATAAAATAACGAAGTATAATAATTTACAGCATTGATTTAAAAAGTTTGAATTTTACACTATAGACATATATTTAGATTCTAGTTATTATCCCAGATCCCAAATGAAGTAGAAATCCCGATTTCTAAACCCAAACAATGTAATAATATCATAATTCAAAAGTGGTTTGAGTCGCAACACTAGCTTTTGATGATGATGATTGACGTCTATCATGTTGTTTATACTTCTGTGAAGATGTTGATGAATGTCGGCTATGCTGTCGGCTATGTTGTCTGCTATATTGTTTTGTAGGCGAACTCGGTGCGGAATATTGCATCGATTGACGTTTTATATGGGATTTTGGTAGCGGTTGAGGTACTTTAGGAAGCTTTGGAAGTCCAGCAAGTTCACGAAAGAAATTAACTTGACTTAGAATTAGCTTCCATAAGATCCACCAGGCTGTTAGATCAAAGAAATTCACGAATAGTAAATAAATAGCCTCAGATCGGTAGTGTAAGAATTAAACTATATATAAAATAACTAATCTTACCTAGTAAAATGAGTAATATAACGGACACTATTGATACTACTACTTTTAGAACATCAATAATAAATGTACTCAACATTATTTGATTATGGAATGTTAGTAAGAACTGAATAGCATTATGATGTTCGGAGAGTAAGGTAAAGGTTTAAAATGATTAGTCACGCGAAATTATCGGCTATAATGTTGATATGGTGACACAGTATGTGGAGTTTGAATTTCCGGGATCGACTTCTAGCGCACGATCACATGACCATTGGTTTCGAGTTAAAATCCAACGAAGTTGCGTACAAAACTACTATTAGTTTGAATTGAGACTCTCGTTTCATAATCATAAACTGTTAAATTTCTGTGCTCGATACTACGTGTTTCTGCAGTGCTAATGATCGCGTCTTTCAGTTAAACCTCGCTGTATATATCAGATATTTAGTTGTTTTGAATTTTTAGTGTTACACGGTATCTTTTATTTGGATTGTCGATTGACATGTGATATAAATTTATTCAAACAACTGAGTGAAGAAGGAGCGCTAAGTTCATTTGAGATGAACTTTCGATACACGTAAGTTTTTTTCGCGTTTTTATCCAACATTCCATTAACCAATGTTAATTATAAGTTATGATACATTGGCTCCAATTCAAAATGTAGATTCGACCAAGTTTGATACAGGCTGGTATATGTCATCGGAGAAAATCTCACAGGCCAATGCAAAAAATTCAATCGTTCGCTGTTCTTCGACTCCAATAGTTACATACAGGCAACGAAATCTTAATTAAATATTGAAATAATTTATTTCGCTTGAAAATTACATCAGTATCTTTACCATCAATTCAGCCATCACGTGATCGAAATTGCGTCTCAATCCAATCAGATTTCGATATTTGGTGTAACGTAACACGATCAGAAAAATTCAAAACAAACGTGCTTTGTCGAAAATCAAAAATCCGCATAACCACCTTTCATGTTCTAACAAAAGTTTTCATTGGGTAATTTTACTGTCAAAGTCCCTAACACCTAGCCTTAATACAAACACTATCCTTAACATAAACAAACCTTAAAGAATTTTTTCGACTATCACGTGAAAGCCGAATTTTGGTGGCGATACTGGGGAAGATGCAGCTTGAAACAAAAATAGGATCAATTATAAGACCCAGGAGAAAAACTATGAATTTAGGCAAAAATCTGGGTAATTGATTAAAGTTCAGTAATGTGCTTTTGGTTTATTGAATCAATGATTTAGACTTGATTTTGCTTTATCGACTTAATAATGCTCATTAGGTCCACCGAAAAGAATAAAAATAAACGAAGAATTGATCCAAAAAGAGAAGGATGCGCTTAATATTATTCCTGAATCCGATAGCTCACAGAATTCAGGTAACCCTTTTTTTTTTTAAAAAAAAAAAAAAAAAGAAAAGAAAAACATACATACATGTACTCATTTATCATTTCTAAATCGATTGCTTAGATAGTAAAGAACCTCCTTTGCCACCAAAAACAGATGATAATGAAAATATACAGTCGAAAAAAATAAGCATTTCATGTGAAGTCAAATCAGATAATATCAAACAGCATTCATCAGAAGATGTTATACAAGAAATTAAAGTCCAAAATGCCGCTGAAGTCCAAAATCAGGAAATTAGTAAAAAGGAGTCAGTTCCATCTCCGATATTTAATGAATGCTTAAGTCAACCTTCAGAATCAAAACTATTGAGTGCTACTCCGACACCAAATATGAATGCAAATAAAGATACTGTATTAGTAAGTAAATTTAAAGCATTGTCATTAATATAATCGTATAATATACATGTTAATTGTTTAAGATTGGCAGCTCAACGGTAAGACTTATACACGTACAAAATACATCGGTCGTGGTGGTAGCAGCAAAGTATATAAGGTCATAGATTCGAATTCTCAAGTTTTTGCCCTGAAAAAGGTCTCAACTAAGAAGGCGGACGAACAGGCTATTAAAGGCTATCTCAATGAAGTTGAGTTATTGACAAAATTAGCTGGAAGAGATCGTATAATAAAATTATATGATCACGAGATTAACCTTGAAGAAGGATATATATTAATGGTTGAGTAAATTCAACAAACTATTCTTTTTTTTATTCATTAATAATTCATATGTTATTAATATTATCGTTATTATTAGCTAATGGAATGTGGACAAATTGACTTGGCAAATTTACTCAATAGTAAAAATGGAAAGCCTATAAAAATAGATTTTATTCGAACATGTTGGCAGCAGGTACTATGTAATAAAAATTTTGTCTATAGATATGATGAACGATTTTTAATACTATTTATTTCCTTAATGTGTGTAGATGCTCGAAGCTGTCTATACGATTCACTTGGAAAAAATTGTTCATTCAGATTTAAAACCTGCAAACTTTATTATAACTGATGGATCACTAAAATTAATTGATTTTGGTATAGCAAGAACTATACAGAACGATACTACAAATATTCATAGGGAACAGCAGGTATATAATTAAATGTTTCAATATATGTTATTGTTAATTTTATTATGATCGAATTTTCACTGTTAATACTCTAGGTTGGGACAATAAATTACATGTCGCCGGAAGCCATTCAGGATTACAATGCTAATAATAAATCTGAAGGAAAATTAATAAAAGTAAGTAATACTTTCTTTAAAACATCTACGGGTACATAATGATTTATTGTACATTTATGTGATATATAGCTGGGACGTGCAAACGACGTTTGGTCTTTAGGCTGTATTCTTTATCAACTAGTTTATGGTCATACGCCATTTGCCCATCTAAACATGTATCAAAAGTTCAAATGTATTCCTGACCCCGACTACCATATCGAGTTTCCACCGACTTCCAGTTTGATATACAATGTTAATCAAGCACATTCAGTTGATGAAAACACTATTAACCAAGGTGTTCCGGTTGATGAAAATTTGCTGAGAATTATGAAAAGTTGTTTACAAAGAAATCCTAAAGCCCGAGCCACAATTCCAGAGTTATTGACTGATCCTTTTCTTAGTGGGTCATATGTACGAGGTAATTGTCAATATTTGGTTTTAAACATATTGATTGTTAGAGATTTGTACGGGCCTGTCCATGCCGGCAGGTTTTTATTATTGTTACGTAAACTGTTTAATGCGAACAATTAATTTTAGCATTAGAACAAGTGTTAAATAATTTGATCCGCGAAATAATTAATTTTAGTATCAGAACCGATATTAAATAATTTGATCCGTGAAGTAATTAAATATACCGAAACGGCTGAGATTACTCATGACTCACATGAACAAATAACCATGATCACAAAGGTTAGAGTTTATATTTAGATTAAAATTCTTTTACATTAAATGCTTGAAGTAACCCTTAGTTGAACTTATTATTAGTCAATTTTTTCCCAGCTCCGTAGCAAAGAGCTGATAAGTTGTGAGCAATGGGGAGATAAATAAAATTGCTTTGTTCAGAGAAAAGGAAATTGGTAATGCTGTAATGAGTGTTTGACTAGTTATTCTTATTCTTTTTTTTTCAAGTCAATTGTACATTAATAATAATAAATGACTGATTGTCAGGAATAAATAATACTTTACTGAATTTAATTATTATATATTGATTAATAAAAAGTGAGATCTCGCTATAGTCACACTAGTTATTTATAAAATTTATACGGTGCGTGACACCAAGCATAAAAAATAGTGGTCAAATTGTATGCCATTGGTTGTGTAATTTGTAAAAAAATTTTAAAGTGGTTTTTTTTTTACATTTTTATAGAAAAAAATTATTTTAGCTATATTAGTTATTTTTGTAATACAATTTAAAAATTGTCTATTTTACTCAACTTATTAATTTGAACTTATAAGCACAATCTTATTATAATCACTTTTGTTTTTAGCCAAGTGTGATTATAGCTAACTGTAATTATAAAACATAATAAGATTAACCTTTGTAATAGGCATTATTACTTTAGCCTCGTTGAATTTTGGTTACTAACCTGGTGATTATATCGAGGTCTGACGGTAGTTTATTTTCTACTAGTAACTGGAAACCAGTATAAGTCTGAAGCATAAGTATTATATATTTTTAAAGTTATTTTTTTTGAATAATTAAAATAAAAAAAAAACTTTTTTTTTTAATAAATTCATAATAAGTGCTCAAAATTTTACCTAATAAATATATCCTGAAATTATTATGCAATTACTGTCAACTATTGATATAACGGACACCCTTACAACGACCCTAGTGTCGCCCGCAAAAATGGTAGCCGGATAGATCTGCCGGTTACATGTGATTATATGATTCGGATTTGATTATGGATAATTCAATTTCG